TGTGTTCAAAATTTACAAAATTTATATAATAAGCGAGTACACCATGAATCCATTTTCCAAACCGTGTTTTTGGCTTGTCCTGAATCACTACGGTACACCTATAATAAGTGTTTATATTCGGACTATTTTAGACTGGTTCGGGTATGTACCGCTGCGGAGTAGCCCAGTACATGCGTGATTCGCCATAGACATAAACAGAGAGAAGTAGCTCCGGCAACAATGTTCTTTCGCAAGACGCACGCAGTTCTGTTTATTAACCGCAAGAGCGCCAAAAGTTACGGACTGCAGCTTTAAATTAAATTGGGAACTGGCTAATGTCCCAGTAGGCCAATGCAAACTGAATCTACCTAGACCGGCTTAAAATCTGTCCTAGATAATGTTCAAATGTACTAGATCATAAAAGATTTACTAATAGATACTAAGTACCAACAGTTCAATACCCATGGTTAATTCCTTTTCCTACAGCATATTTAGCATTACATCCCAAAGAACTCAAGATCCCCAAGCTGCTGAACACATGGTGACATCCCCATTCACCACCCTTCACCAGATATCTCTCTAAAGAGGATTATACAGTGACAAAGGTTATTAACTCATAATACAAATGAACAACACCTACTGCGCAGAGGGAATAGCTTGTCTCCATTTAGCAAATACAATATCGAACACTATTTATAACCTTGATGTTCTTTCGCTGATAAATTGACGAAAACGGTCTTGCTAAATGCAACCTAGGTAAGTAGCCTAGGTGAGAATGTAACATATAGTGTATTACTCTCCCACATCAAACAACTTCACCAAACAAAATCTATTATACTAATATTTTTAATAACTGCAATAGCATACACTACCATTCAAATGTTTAGGGTCAGTTTTTTTTTAATAGAAATGAATTCCTTTATTTAGCATTGGCACATTAAATTGATCATATGTTACAGTAAAGACATTTATAAATATAGTTACAAAAGATCTCTATTTTAAATAAATGCTGTTTTTTTTTTACTATTTATCGAAAAATCCTAAAAAAAAAAAAATGTATCACGGTTTCCTCAAAAATATTAAGCAGCCAAACTGTTTTCAACATTGATAGTAACAGGAAATGTTTCTTGAGCAACAAATCTGCATATTAAAATGATTTCTAAAAGATCGTGTGATAAAAGTAATGTGAATGGGGTGATGGCTGCTGCAAATTCAGCTTTGCCAACTCATGAATAAATTATATTTAAAAAAATATTTCAATAAAAAGCAGTTGTTTTAAATTGTAATAATATTTCACACTATTACCGTTTTATTATCATATTTTGATCACATAAATGCAGCCTCTGTGAGCATGAGAGACTTCCGACCCTGAACCTCTGAATGGTAGTGTATATTATAGTCAAAAAACTAATCATGTGAAAACATCTGAAAATAAATCGCTTGTTAGACCACGTAAACTGTCCCACTAAGCATCAGATGCCAAACAGCTCGACAGTGCCCAAAGAGAAGCCGACAAATGGATCAACACTAGAATTCCCTGTCTAGTGCCGTCTTATGGTATTGACCCAGTTGGCATTAAAGCATAGGCTGGACTGGAAAAGGAATTTCACTATTAACTGTGCCAGCATACATCAGAGGGATTGAAGATGATCAGTTTACATAGCAGCACCAGATGGAGACACATCTATCAGTGTCCTTATTAGGTCATACCAGTTTATACTGAAAGCCACACTGGTTAATTCTATACCAAACACAGAGAAATGAAAGAGTGTTTATGTTTACTGCAAATATGTGCATCACAGTATGACTTTAGAACATAAATAATAAGAACAGCAAAGAATGTACTAAAATTCTATTCATATATTTAGAAAAAATCTACACCAAACTGATGCCCTCTGGTGGCCTTCAGTAGCTGAAAACATCTGGGTCAGAGTAGGCCTGAGATGGAGGTTAAAAATTAATGAGCGCTGTAGGTGGCAGATGGGGTTGTCATGGATACCTGATGTTTGAGATGAGCTGTTGCTGCTCTTCAGTTGTCAAGATGTCAGGAAGAGCAGAAGCAAGCCAGTCCACCTTCCTCTCAGCAGCAAACTGTTTCAGTACAGCAAACAGTTTCTCTTTCACCTCTGGTTCGTTCCTCAAAATCTCCTCAACCTGAAACAGCAGTGATTGTGATTTTGCACCTCTTTAATTATAAAAAGTCATAAAAACATATTCAAAGTCTGTCCGATAAACTCACCCTCCTATTGAACTCCAGAGCCTTGTGTTTGCGGTCTTGACGCATGCCATCCGTGTCGTTCTGAGAGCCCTCTAGACTCCCGCTGCTGTGTTTCTGACGACTGCCCGTGCACAGCACCCCAAGACGCAGAGTGCGGCCCTGAGAGGCCTTTATCAAAGCGGCTGCCATCTCATGGTGCTTCACTGGGATCCCATTCACCTCCATGACATAATCTCCAGCTCTGAGACCACTACGACCCGCTGGGGAGCAGGTGGAGCAATCCTCCACCAGCAGGGGGCAGTCTCCCACGATAGTGAAACCAAAGCGACCATCAGGGCCTGGAATGATATCCATCTGCAGGCAGGCCAGAAAATGCAAGCAACAGATTGTAAATATTGTTATAGACAGAACTGAATTAATAGCTGTATATGTACTTGTATTCATGTTGGTTTCTGGGTTTTTAAAACTTTTATAAATATATTTTTATATATATTTCAATTATTGGTACATTTTCATATTTTTTTATCTTGAATTACTAATTCATGAATAACATTTAAGATTGTTGGAGAATCACGCCCCATGACATGTCAAAAAAATTAATAAATAAAATAAAATGTAAAATATTTCTAAGAAGTAATTATTAAAGATGATGCCAATCTACTTAGTATTGTTTTATTTTCAAGAATTTCATTATTTTAATGAGGCTTTTTTCTTCATTGATATAACCAATCACCTTATGCCCTCAAAAACATATATTTCTTTTTTTCATAGAATAGCTGTATTTAAGTTATATAACAATGTATGTTATATAAATTGTTATATTTGTTTTTATTGATATTTAGATTTTTTCTTTTATTATCTCATAATTTAAATTTTTAGTAATTTTATTTTGTGATTTTGCCATTTTTATTAATTGTTTTAATATTACTATTTTGGATTCATTTATTTTTATTTTAGTTTTAGTTCAGTTTTACTTTGACTTTTTTATCTTAGTGCTTCAACTTATTTCAGTTAGTTTCCAAAGCTATTTCTCATTTCCGTTTAGTTTAGGTTTTTCATTTAATATATATATTTCATTTTAGTTTCATTTTAATGAACTAAAATTTCTTTAACAGTTTTAGTTTTAGTTTAAGTTAATGATAATAACCCTGATGTTAAATAAATGAATACATTCAGACAAAAACAAAATTTAGTGTCATGTCATTGACCCACCTGCTGGATGCGTGAAACTACTCCAATACTGGGCGGGATGTTTCGTTGTGATTGGGCAAGGGCGATGACCTCTTGAGCACTAAGACTGGAAACATTCTGCCCCTCAATCTCCAAGACCTGGTCTCCAGGTTGCAGTCCAGACAGATGAGCACTGCTTCCCTCCTCCACGGTCAGGATGTAGCTGGGCCCATTCCCCCCTATCTGAAAGCCAAACTCCTCTGGCCAGCCCTGGTTGGACGCTGGCATGGTGAGGACTGTGAGAAAGATGGCAAATAAGAGGATATGTGGTCTCTAATGGGCAACTAGGCTCCAAATGTTTGGCCTGTTGTAAACAAGACCTACTTACACACAGCAAAATGACCAAGTCTCCTGAGAAAATGGAAATTTGCTGGGCATCACTGCGGACACATGCTTGAACAGACACTAAAATATTTCAAGCACCTAAAATATATATACCTAGATGCTACAATATGTCAAGCTTTGTACATTTCTGCCTATTCTGACAAGACAAAGAAATGCAGAGCAATATAGAACCTTCACTAACACATCAGACCTCCCAGTAACATTGACCTCATTGAAAAAGGAACAGAGGCTCCCAAATCATCCGATATCAGAGTACAGATGTGCCTGAACACAGCATCAGCAACATGAGAGTCTTGTTTGTAGCATAGCATGTACTTACTAGTGAAACCAGAACACTAAGAGACACACACATCACACATCAACATTCCCAATTAAATGACTGGTAAAATATTATGTCTGTGGGCTGGTCCATGCAAGCCTAAGCCTGTTGAATGATAGAAGGTCATTCGTCAAAACATTAGCCTCCATGCACACCTAAACATCATCATCATCGTCCTACAAACACAAAATTCTTGAACATTAAACACTTACAAAAATCTTTGGGCGGATAGCGAGGACCCGACTTGTTCTGCCGTAAGGAGTACCTCCCTTTCTTATTCTGGAGGAATTTCTTCATTTTGTCGTAATTCAACAGGTATCAAAAAATTCTGAGAGCAAAACGCCTGTTCCACGTCCTCCACGTTGTACGAGATCCTCTTACTGCACCGCACCACGCTTCAGGGGAAACGCCTTTCGAATGCCCCCCATCGTCGTGTGGCATGCAGAGCACTGCCACTTAAAAAAAGGGTGACACTGCATCGAGTGCCAGAGTGATGCTGTCGACGAGTTGACTCTGCATCTCTGGCGAGTCTTGCTAGTCCTGCCTGCAGAGCTCAAATCAAGAAACTGGGACACCTAGCACAGATAATGATTCGCTCTCCAAAAAGGGTAAAGAGAGGCCCCATTTCTCTATAAATATCTCCTTCCCATACTCTCTCTTCTAGCTGTCTCTCCAAGGGACAAAAAGTAGCCCAGAATCAGCTTGGGGATCCATCAGGACGATGGTGGATAATTAGAACGTCTGAATGCACTGAAGAGCGCAGTCACACATCTTTGAACAGGAGCAGTGCTATTAAAGCTCTTGCTCTGGATTAGACAGATTAAATGCTGCATCTCGAGATCTCTCGTGCCACATGGCAGGACACATGCTGTCATGCATCCGGGGGGACTTCAGGAGGAAGGATTGATTTACTGAGTGAGCTGACATGCAGCTCAGGTGCAAGCAGGGGCCTCCAAAGCATTTTTTTTGTTGTTGTTGTTGTTTTTGAGTACTGGGCTGGCCCAGGCAGATAATAAAAATGAACACATCACAGTATAAATACATGACAAAGTGTGTAGTGCGGTTTCACTTTCAAGGTTACAAACTGAATGGGGAAACTGTAACTAGCAGTAAAACGTAATAGATGTATTATGTAAAGGACTGAAGCAAAGACAAGCTATACAGGGCTAAATGAATTATTTAGTGCCAAAGCTTGTATCTCCAAACACACTGTTCCTCAATCAACATCTCAACTTACCAATACAACTAAAAAGTGGTTGTGTATGTAGAAAAATATTATTGTATTGCAATAAAACAGTATTTTTTTATTTTATTTTGACAGTAAGGACTCTATGCTCTCTTTACAATTTAAAATGCCAAAAGACCTCTGTCTTTTATAATTTGCAGAAATAAATTAGACATAATTTAACATATTACAAAACAGAATTAAATTAGTTGTAACAGTAGAATCCATAGACATTAAAAAAAGAAATATGGTAACTGAAATTGCAACATCCAAAAATAAGAACATAATCTCCAGCCTTCAATAATTTGTGTTAGCTCCATTTATGTTAAATGATGTTGTGGTCTGACAACCAAAGGTGCAATAAAAGACTTACTTTAAAAACACATAGAAAACTTTCTTCATATTCATAAAACTTGTTAACACATAGATTTACAAATGCAGGCATGCCTTAAAAGAGAATACCTGCTTCCTTTGCTGGGTGGAGTATTCTCGAAGGGCTTTTGTAGTATCCCTTTCCTTTGAGGCATCACTGCTGTAGTGAATGTGCAGGTCTGTAACATGATAACTGTAAGAGGCAACAGTTAGAAAGCTATGGCAACCCTGAACTGAAAACAAGAGCACTTAACATTATCAACCATCTGCTTCTGAAACGAAAGACGAAAAAAAAAATAAACAATTGAATGTTTTTGATGGACAAATATTATGCAATATATGCATTTTAAAAAACGATATTATTCAATTATTAATTATCCAAATATTAATATAACAGGCTACATTTTCCCCAAAATAATCCCTAATTTTGAAATAGATGATTTTGTGCGATTTTCTCATCTGCAGAATATATTGAAAGATGAACTAAACGATTACAAAATAGCGAGCCAGCAAAAAAGAAAAAACATTAAAAAGAAGTCCAAAATATAAAATTCAAAGGATGATATTGGTAAAAGACATGGCGGAAATAGGATTAACAGGACGTGGATTAAAGGACATAGGCTATTGAAATGCAGCAGGAGCGGACAAGGAATTAAATATTTGATTTATTTTTTGACTAAAACGGGACTAATAGCAAGAATATGAAAAAGAGGATACTGTATATGGGAAGTAATTAGCTCCAGAAGATGGCGGTAATGCAACACAAAGGATGCAAACTGCCGTTAAAACCTAAAGAAGCAGAAGAAGAGAAAAAAAGTTTGGCCCTGCGACTCAATGTTCATACTATCCATCCTAAATAGTATGTGAGATTAGAATAAGTGTGTCCCAAAGCATAGTATGTTGAAAAGAGTATGCCAAAAGTCCCCGGATGGTCTACTATTTCAAGTCGATTTTTGAAGTGTGGATCCGTGCACACGCTAATGGCTGATATTGCCCACAATCCATTGCGCTTTGGTGAAGGACTCTGTCCAGAACTACAAACACGAATAAAACGCATTAAAAACTACAAACATGGCGAATGTGCGCAACCAACGGATAGGTAGAGAGGCTTAGAAAAAGGGGTTTGAGTTATTAATATTCAACATTTAACCTGGTAAAAAATATTTATTTAATGTTATCTGTGTTATATTTCATCGGCAACAGCAATGTAAACTTTTATAAACAATTAATAATAATAAATTTGGTCGTTAACTTTTAAATACATCATTATGCATAAAATATGAGCAGAGTTCTCAGCATGAAAGACCGCGACTGGCAGATCAACGAGCTACTTATTTTCTCTCCATTATGGTAGGAAGTTTTTTATTTATTTATTTATTTATTTTTTATTAATTGTATATGCTTGAATTAACATTCAAAAGTATAACAAAATGTAACAAACATGGTGTTCACGTTTTCTGGAAGAAAAAAAAAACAAACCAAAACAAAAGAAAGGAAAAGGGAAAGAAAAATAAATAAATAACAAGGAGAGTATACATCAATAATTACAATAGAAAAGAGGAGTTAGTTCTTTGAGCGTGTCCATAGTTCTGGTTGCCTTCCGACTTGAAAGACCTTGAAGAGTTTCAAAATAAATCCCCAAATCAACTTTGAAGTGGGAGATACTGGGCTTCCTTTCTGACCATTTACATTTGTGTATGTAAAACTTACCTAATAATATTAGAAGATTTAGCATAAAAATGTGACTCTTATCCATATCTTTTTTTTATCAAAATAAAATATAACATCTCTTTTTCTTACATTAATTTTAGATCCACTCAACATAGTAAATA